GGGGGGGAGGGGGTGCCAATCCGCTTCGAATGATCCAGGCTCCAGTGAGTGATCCAGACTGCAGTGATTCGTCCAGGTTCCAATGAGTGGTCCAGGTTCCATTGAATGGTCCAGGCTCCAATGAGTTATGTCCCTTCCCCTAGCGGCCGGGTTGCAGAACCAGGGAGCCAGGCGGCCACGGCTATCTCGGACGCGAGATGGGACAACGACAACAACAAATTGGGTCAGCCGTCGCAACCTCCGTCTCGTGCTAGCGCGGAGGTGTTGACTGACAAAACTGTCCGGACTGTCACCACACCTGGAGTCCTTCCAGGACTCAGGCAGGGGGTAGCACCGCCCAAGGCCGGAATATGGCCGCTCGTGGCCGGGGGTATCACGTGCGCCCACGACGGCAGGGTAGCTATCTCGAAATTATGGTTTGTCGACAGTGTCTCGAGCAATGCTGTTCATTGATTGGTTCATTGGTTGGTGGTTTGGTTCCGGGGTTGGTTCCGGGGCTGGTTCCGGGGTTGGTCCATCTCCGGGGTCAATGTCGAGTTTCAGGTGACTAGGCGAGGTGCACAGGGGCTCGAGTGGGTTAACATGATGTGAGAATTGGTGGTGTTCAAGGTATCCTGAGTGGTCATGTAGGGATTGCCTCGGGTTGCCGGGAGAAGGGCGTTCGGTGCTTCCAGCGTTCAGTAGCCCCTGCAGCTCATAAGAGGCGGACTGGCAGTGTTCGGCGGAAAGGCAGTCTGGATGGGCGTGGAGATCTGAGTGTTCATTTACGATTTCACGGACATCAGATTTAAGAGTAATGGGTTGATCGGAGCAGCCGCGGTGCCGCTTCAGTTCCATGTGCAGCCACAGACAGGCGGGCAAACACACGAACGTGGCTGACGCGAGTATAATCGACGCCGTCCGCGGCCGGTCGAAATAGTTGACCAGATTGGTCGCGAGGACGCCGCCGCCGCCGATGGCTCCGGAAACGCCCACCAGGGTCCCGTAATACTTCTGAGGGAACCTTTCCTGTACAAACGAATACTTGATGGTGTAGGCGTACGACATCGCCATGTTGAAAATCATCACCGATAAGTATTGTATGTTCCCTTTCCCAACAGGAACGAGGTAATAGATCAAGGAATACTGAAGGCAAGCGCGTTAGTATGAACAGGAGGAGGGTATGAACAAGGGGGGGGGGGAGTATGAACCGGGTGGTCGTGTCAACGGGGGAGGGAACGAACCGGGTGGGCGTGTGAAGGAACGTACCATGAGTAAAAGGACACTGATAATGAAAGGTGTCTTCGTGTAGTCAGTGATTCGGCCGATAATGATGGCCCACACGGCCTGGGTGGGCATCGTGTAGCCGAGGAATTCAGAGATAGCCACGCCTAGTTGGCTCCTCAAAATCATTTGCCAGTAGGAGGTCTGGAGCATGAGCACGATGCTGAGTAGGTTCATGACCACGAATGGCAGGGAGCCGAGGTACTTGAGCAGGCGTTTGGCGGAGAAGGGTTCTTGGGTGGCGTCTTGGGCAATGGCTTGGTTTCTATGCCTTTTGAAAGGCAGAAGGGCGAGGTAGGGTATGGAAATGGGGATCCAGATTCCGAGCAAATAGCCCCACCAAAGTTGTTGGAAGGTCCAGCCAGGGTGGTGTTTCCACAGCAGCCACATGACGGGCGGGATGACGGAACTGAGGCATTGACAAGCAATCACGTAAGCGGCAGTGGTCGCCGCCGCACTGGGGAAGTAGTCTTCCAAAGTCAGGGCAGGAAATCCGATCAGATTTATGGCGATGCCTGAGACAGCGAGCGCAGCAGCGTACATGTTGTGCTTCTGTGACGAATACACGAGCATGGTATACGCCAGGAATCCGATTGTGCTCCCCAAGAATGCACACACTCTAGGGCCCACCCAGTCCAGCGCAACTCCCGCAACCACGCCCCCTGCCAGCTCAATACCTGAGGCGATCGGTAACAGCGAATTCACTGCCTTCTCCTGCACCGCACATGTGTACAAACCCGGCAACTCCGCGTTCTCCTCCACACCGTCCGTACACCTCCAGGCAAACGCCCCACCCTTGAGCAAGATCAACGAAAACTGCTGCCACCCTGCAAACAGGCAGGAGGTCAACGTCACCGCCAACCCGTAGACAACCACCCGCAACCAACGGTCGCACTGCCGCGACATCACACACTGTCGCCGATCCTTCTGGTCAATCAAAGCATCGGTGATAGCTTCATCCACCTACGCAACAATGTGTAGTACCCACCCACACGCACAAGGACCCAAGGGATGGGAACGCCCAAAGGATGGGAACGCCCAAAGGATGGGAACGCCCAAGAAGTGTGAAGACTCAAGGGGTGGGAACGCCCAGGAGGCGCGCGGGCCAATGTCACCCAGGGGGGCTGGAACCCAGCGGGGGCAGAATCCCCAACTCGGTGGATAAAGCACTATCGTGGTGAGCTATTACCCCTCTGTCGTCAGACATGAATGGTTTTTGGTCGGTCCAAAATGGACGTAATTAGCGGATGGAGTTTTCCTCAAGCTGCACCCTTAGAGCTCGGCTTGTTCCGCAGGTTCCACGCTACATGTACGAACGGCCAATCGATCTACGTGTTTGGAGGGGAAACTAAGGTCACCAATACAGATGGAACGAGAGGGCCAGTCAAAAGGTTGCTGAACGACTTGTTAATGTACAGCCCAGGTAAAGTATACACCTTTTCCTGTGACCGAGTTTTACCAGAAGGTTACTCAACACAAACGCACGCTGTAATCCCATCAAAACCGACCACGTGGTGGAAAAGCCATGTGGTCGAAAAGACCGTGTGGTGGTAAGCCTGTTGTGTATGTAGATGAGGATGTGTGGACGGTGCTAAATGACGGGTCGGAAGAGGCTCCTTCTCGGCGCAAGGGAGTTCCTTTAGTGTACAGTGCGCAGGACCAGAGTCTGTACTTGTTCGGGGGTGCTGGTCCGGGATTGAACTTTAACGACCTATGGAAGTTTGACTTAATCGAGCGTCGATGGTACAACGAATCGACGAAGTGCATGGACGCCTGGAGTGGTCACCACAGTGGGGAAGACGTTCCGTATCCGGTGCCGCGAGCGTACCACGTGCTGCAGATATTCAACTCGAAGCTGGTGGTGTACGGCGGGTACGGCGTAAATGACGACTCGGAAATGTATTGGGAATATGACCTCCGGACTCACCAATGGAAGAATGTTATATTTAGGGACGCCAACCCGGGCCTGAGGTTCGGACTGGCGGCCTGCATCCACAACGAGAGTCTATACATTTGCACAGGCCAGCTGCAAAGTCGACTGGTCTCCAGCACGCTGTGGCGACTGGACCTGCGCTCCAAGACCTGGCAGCAGGTAGTGGCCACCGGGGCGCCGCCTACGCCGCGAACCTACGCTGCTCACACGCTCCTTCGGCCCCACGGACGCTGGCTCATCCACGGCGGCTCCTCCTCCGACACAGTCTTCAACGACACCTACGAACTAGACCTAAACACCTTCCACTGGCACCCCTCCCTCATCCTCTGCACTCCACCGACTCTAGAGGGGCACACCCTCGACGCCTTGCAGACCCAGTGGGAGTCCACTTGTCTCTTCCTCCTCGGCGGTGCAACCAGTGGACCCATTGTACCCTCAGGCCCCATCGCCAGATGCGACCTCTTCCTACGCGGCCTCTCCTCTCAACTCAAAGTGGAAGATTTCTGCATCAGGCTTCCCATCGTCGCCGATATGCTCTGGGATCTCCATCGATCCAGGATAGCCGCGCAGGAAAAGTAAAAACACCATTTCCAAACAAACACATTTCCGCCACTCACCACCTGGACCAATCACCACCGGACCGCAGCGCAGCATTTCGAACAGTCTCCAGCGATGACCTATCATGTCCTTAGATTGAACAACCTAAATGCCCATGCCTCTGAGATGGAAGAAGAGAATGGCCGACTCCGACAGCAGCTGCTATCAAAAGGCAGTCTGAACCTCCTGCGGCAGTCTCTGGAGACGGCACTCAAATCGCTGGAAAGGCTCACTGGGCGCCGTGTGGGAAGGTATGGAGCCGATGTCGTAGACGACCATACTTTAGTAGACTACATCACTCAGTTATCCGCTGCAATTATGCACGCTGCTTCAGAACTCGAGCGACGGCCCCAAAACACTGGGTCTCGACGAATAATGGAAAACGCAGGATCATTAAGCCAAAAAGGTTCACGGTCCTCCAATCAGATCACCTCTCAGGAGAACCGGCATCCGACTCCAGCGTCTGTCGAACTGGGTAGCGACGACGCCAGGTCTAGAAGGTCAGCTGCTTCGTGTGGACCAGGGTTTCACCCAATCGGTCTGAGCGCCACCGGGCTGAGCGCAAAGGGCTTCGAGAATCGTCCAAGGAGCATCACTCGCGCCGTACTATGTGGTACGGGCATGCTTAAGCTGATGCCAAAAAATCAAGCTCCAATCACGGCAGATGCGAGCACCAGAGCGGACTCTTAGAAATGTATTATAATCAGAGAGATAACCCTTAATACCTCCTCTGATACACATACCAGCGGTCGTTGAGCAGACATGCAGGTCTAAGGTGCCGGGATCCCGATTTCCAGGCTCTCGCCGACACTTTCAGGGGGCGCGCGCCATTGGTTCTGCCAAGCCAATGCTTCATCCAAGGAATTAGAGCGCGCAAGCCTTGTCTATAGTTGATCATGATATTTGGATCCTTAGACTCGGCGTTGTATATTTCACATAGTTTATGTTGCGCACACGTGTGTGCGCGCAAATAGATTAACGATCTGAAGTTCTCAAGAGCATTTCCAGGCCCTCGGAAACGGTTTGGTGGCTTCTGTTGAAGCCCAATTGACAGCAAGAGTTCTGGTTTGAACAAACGGTTGTGGACAGCAACTGTGCAGCCGGTGGCCCAATGAGTGAGAAAAGACCCTGTACAGCGTTGCAAGGTATACCGACGAAGTGTCGTATGAGAAATCGCACTTGAACGCTGACACATTCAATCAGTATGTTCACGAATTGGACGCGTTATGCGAAGTTCGGCAATGATGTGGATAGAACTCCTCCAACTCCAAGAAGGAATTTGGCATGTGCGAGTCCCTCGACCGCTCGCCGGTCATCAACCTTAAATTACGCTGAATCCATTATTTTGAATAAACCAAAGGGGCGGCGACTTGGTGATGGCGTGAAATTGAGTGGGACGAATGAATATGACGAAACGATCCGCAGACTCTCCTGGGACGCTGCGGAAAGCTTACTGGCGGCTGGTCCTATGTCGGCGGACTTGACCAGAGTGCCGCCTCGGCCCAGGATCCGCGGGCCGGCGACGTCGGCCGTGCCCGCGTACCAGCTGCTTCTGCCGCAGCGTTCCACACCGATGGATCAGCAGGAAGATTCCATTCACTTTCCGAATGAGGAGGAGGCACCGCCATACCCGACATGGACGATGTCGGTGGGGATCCCGCAGCCCCGCCGAGGGATGCCCGATCGGAAGAAGTCCGAGTTCGTCTCGAGCCTGATTCGGCAGCCCGAGATGCCCGCCCGCCGACGGTATTCGGACTACGAAGGACAGCGCGCAGACGGGATGCTGAACGTGCCGGCGATTATGGTGGACCCGTATTCGTCCTCCGCACGCGAGTTCATTGCCAGTCGCCAGTTGCTCTTCCTCACGCGGAGGCGGCTGCGGTCGGCGACGCACGAGCCGCACGTCTGGATCGTGAATTACTATGGCCGCGCAGCGGCCAAGGCGATCCACTCGAAAATCGTGCCCGGGGCGTCGGTGGCGTTGGCGGACACGGCGCTGTTGGCGCACCAGCACGCGCCTTCGCTTCCGACCAAACTAACGCGGCTATTGGGGTATTTGGAGGTGAATGATAACATGCCGGTGGTGGAGCGGGCGAAGTTGCGTTTTGCGCGGCTTATTGGTCGTGGCGGCACATCAGCGGTCTACTCGGGTGGGTTGGAGGTGGGTGCGGAGACGGCTTTGCCGGTGGTCGCGAAGATTTTGAACCCGAAGCATTGGAAATGTGCTTTGGCGGAGCTGGTGGCGTCGGCGGCCACTTGCCACCGTATGACGGAGGGCGCCTGGATCGTGACGGACCGTGCGCGGCGGTCGCGAGGCGAGTCGTCGCCGACGAGCGCGAGCAGCCACTCGGGCGGGGGCGGTTTGGACGAGAACTGTCCTTTTGTGCAGGGTGGGGTTTGGTTGATGCCGACGGAATTGCACCTGTTTTGGGATGCGGACAGCCCGCAGCCGGGTCTGGCGGGGACGGCGGAGGGTTGGCGTGGTGAGTTAAAGAAGCGCTACGACCAGCCGAAGTTCGCGACGACCGAGTTGCCAGCGCTTTGTTGCCTGATGCTGCGCAACTCGGAGGACGGTGTGCCGCTGCTGACTTGGCTGAACACGGTCTATGTGAAGCGGCGCTGCAAGCCTTCGCACGAGATGTGCGTGTACTTCGCGTACACGGTGATCACGCTCGTGCGCCAACTGCACTCCTGCGGACTGGTGCACGGCGATATCAAGCCGGACAACTTCGTGTTGCTCTCGTCGGCGGCGCCTTTTTCGGGCAAGCGCATCTTCGGCGACGTGCAAATCCCGCACCCGTTGCTGGGCGACGCGCTTGTGTGCCCGGTCACGGTTGCAGGCATCGATTTCGGTCGCTCGCTCGACGTGAAGGAGGCGCTGCGCGACGTCGTCTTTGTCGGCGACACGCAGGTCTCCGACTTCCGCTGCCCCTCCATGCTCGAGAGCCTCAGCTGGGAAACACAAATCGACTTGACTGGACTCGCCGTCACCATTTTCACTATGGTCAGCCTCAAGTACCCCAAGATCCGCAAAAAGAAACTCGACGCCGCCGCACCCGCTCCACTCAGCGTCGGCGACGCGCGCGGCAAAGTCAGCCACTCCTATTGGTTCGGTTCGCGCGTCCGTGGAGACCTCAAACAAAACGAGTTCTGGCTCGGTGTCCTCGACCGCCTCATCAACTTCGATCCTTTCCACACCTCCGACGGACACACGCTCCTCGACTCTTGCCTCCTCCTCCGCCAACTCGAAAAGGAACTCCTTGGCCTCTTCGAAAACCACCGCCTGGACATCGGCGCCAGCTACGACGTGCTCTACGCCGAACTCCAGGACATGAAAGACTTCATCGTCGACTACCAAAAACGCGGCGGAACCTCGGCCGTCATGATCTAGTCACTCGCCGCAACGGACTGGGCGGAACGGTCTTGGGTGGAACGGGCTAGGGCGGAACGGACGGACTAGGCGGATCGGACAGGGCCGGAAGGAGGGATTTGCTTGCCCCGTCTTCTTGTCGCCCCACTAGATGTCCGACTAGTTGTCGTCCAGATCGATGAAGGCTTCTTTGAGAAGCTACAAAACATGACCAGGTGAGCGCAGGGGGG